ACTTAAACCTAGCAAGAAAGATTATCCAGAGATATAAAACTGTATAAAACAGTAGTTGTTGTTAGGTGTCCTTGGAATAAATACAAATCATAGGAAAACTATGAACAGCCAATCTGAACCCTGTCCTATCATGTGACATCTTCATCATTTCTGACACATTAGAGCCCATTGCTGAAATCACTGTGTCAATCCATCTTTTTGGGATCATCCTCTTTTTTGTTGATGCTCTTTCCAAGCCTGACTTCCCTTTCCATGAAATAGTCTCATTTAGCTACATGTCCCAAGTATGAAAGATGAAGTTTCACCCTCTTTGACTCCACATCAGAGCTGATATCAGGTGAATTCTTACGGATAGAAGAGAATACTAGAAAAAAAATGTTTATTTGTGTTTTAGTAACTATGCAGAAGCATTTGACTGTGGAGATTACAACAAATTATGGCTTACATTGAGAAGGATGGGAATCCCAGAACACTTAATTATGCTTAAATTTAATCTATACCTAGACAAATAAATGGTTGTCTGAACAGAACAAAGCAACACTTCTTCATTAAAATCAGAAAGGTGTGTGTCAAAGTTGTATCCTTTCTCCATTCAATTTGTATGATGAACAAATAATTAACAAAGCTGAAATCTATGAGGAAGAGTGAGGCATTCGAATTGGAGAAAGACTCATGAACAACCTGTGTTATGTAGATGATACATCTTTGCTTGCTAAAAGTGAGAAAGGTATGAAATGCTTGCTATAAATCAGAAAATACAGCTTTTGGTATGAGTTACATCTCAACACCCAGAAAGCAAATGTCATCACAAACAGTTAACAATATGGTAGACGGAGAAAGGACTGAAGTTGTCAATGATTTCATCTTTCTTGGATCAACACTCAAAACCCTTGGTACCAGCAGTCAAGAAATCAGGAGTTGTTTTGCATTGGGCAAGTTTGCCATCAGGAATCACTCCAAAATTCTGAAGAGCAAATGATTTCAGTTTGAAGAATAAGGTGTGCCTGATTTAAGCCATAGTCAAAACCTTATAGTTAACTCATAAAGTATGAATTGTGGTTAACCTTAAGGAGAATGGGAATCCTAGAACACTTGATTGTGCTTATTCAAAACCTATATTGGACTGGGAAGAAGTCCCAGTACAGAGCAGGGAAATACTGCATGGTCCAAAATCAAGAAAGTAGTGTGTCAAGGATGACTTCTTTTCAGTCTATATGCCGAACAGATCATTCTGGAGGCTGGGATTTATGAGGGGGAATATGGTATCAGGATTGTAGGAAGACTCATCAACAACCTGCATTATGCAGATGACAAAACCTTGCTTGCCAAACCTGAGGAGAACCTGAAGTGCTTGCTGCAAAAGTTCAAGAATTGTAGTCTTTAATCTGGATTGAAGCTCAACATCAAGAAGACAAAGATTCTCAATGTTGGGCCACTTGGCAGCACTATGATGGATGGGAAGAAATTGAGATTGTTAACAGTAACAGCTTAATCAGCTACACAATCAACACTTTTGGCACTAGCAGTCAGGAAATCAAAAGATGAATTGTATTAGGTAAATCTGCTGTCAAAGATTTCTCCAGACTACTGCAAAACAACAATGTCAGTCTAGAGACTAAGGTGCACCTGATCCAGCCATGGTCTTCACAATTACTTGCTATGCATCAGAGAGCTATGCATCAGACAATGAGTAAGAGTAATAGAAGAAGCATTGATGCCTTTGAGTTGTGGTACTGGCAAAGGGTTGAACATACCACGGACTACCAAGAAAACAAATAAGTATGTCTTCAAGAGGATGAAAACAAGTTTCTCAAAAGAGGCTAGGATTTTAGAGCTCTGTTTCACACTTTGGTCATGTGGCCAGGATCCTTGGAGATAGACATCATGCTCAAAAGGTTGGAGGGACAGCACAGTAGAGGAAGACCCTAGATGAAATGATTGATACAGTAACTAGGGCAATAGGGATTAGTTTGTCAGATTCAGTAAGATTGGCTCAAGATGGGGCAGGCTTCAGCGTTGTTGTACATAGGGTCACTATGAGTCACAGACATCGAAATGGTACATAACTGCAACAAGAAGAAGTATATTCTAAATGATAGGCATCGTTCTAAATGTTGTTTTTGTTGTTATGAGCCATCAAGTTGCTTGTGACTCTTAGAAACCCTATGTACAATAGCCCTAAACTCTGCTCTGTCCTGTGCCAATCTCACTGTCTCTGACACACCCATCCCAATTACCCCAGTGACTGAATCAATCCACCTCCTAGAGGGCCTTCTCCTCCTACACTTGTCCTCAACCCTCCCAAGCATGATGTCCCTCTCCAAGGACCGGTCTCTCCTTGCAACATGACCAAAGTATGTCAGACGAAGCCTCAGAATCCTTGCCTCCAAGGAGCAGCCTGGTTTAACCCTTTGCAGGATGAATTTGTTTGTTTTCTTAGCAGTCCATGGTACCTTCAGTACTCGTCTCCAACACCAAAGCTCAAACGAATCAGTTCACCTTCTATCTTCCCTAGTGAGTGTCCAGCTCTCTGATGTATAACAAGTGATTGCAAAGACCATGGCCCGTATCAGATGCACCTTAGTTTCCAGAGAGACACCGTTGCTCTTAAGTACTTTAGAGAGGTCCCTAACAGAAGACTTTCCCATCGCAATACATCTTTTAATTTCCTGGCCACTGGTGCCAAGAGTGTTGACTGAGGAACCAAGCAAAATAAAGCTGTGAACAATCTCAATCTCTTCAACTTCCATCCTAATGCTGCCAGTTGGCCCAGTGATGAGAATATTTTTCTTCTTAATACTGAACCTTAATCCATATTGACTCTCTTAGTCCCTTTACCCTCTGCAGCAAGTGCTTCAGGTCTTCTACAGTTTCAGCAAGCAGGGTTGTATCCTCTGAATAAGGCAGATTGTTGATAGTTCTTCCACCAATCCTGATGCCGCATTTCTCACAGAGGCAACCTCCCAGATGATCTGTTCTGCATACAGGTTGAAAAGGTATGTAGACAGGACCCATCCCTGGCATACACCCTTCCCTATTTTGAACCATGCAGTGTTTCCTTGCTCTGTTCTGATGACTGCCTCTTGGTCCAAGTATAGGTTTCGCATTAGCATGATCAAGTGTTCTGGTATTCCCATTCTTCTCTGAGTCAGCCACAATTTTCCATAAATATGTACATTGTGAGGAAACTCAAAACAACTTCATTTCTCAGATAAGAAAGCTATGGCACAGAAGTCATAATTGATTTGTTTGTTGTTGTTATGTGCTATTGAATTTCTTGTGACTCTTAGAGACCCTATATACATAGCTCTGAACCTTGGTATATCCTGAAGCAACCTTATTGTGTCTGACACACCTACCTCCGTTACCCTAATCCCTGAGTCAATCCATCTCCCATCGCGTAGAGGTTCTTCCTCTCTTGTGCTTTCCTTCCACCCTCTCAAGCATGATGTCCCTCTCCAGAACCTGTACTTCCTTGAAGCATGGCCAAAGTATGTCAGACAGAGTTTCAGAATCCTTGCTTCCAAGGAGCAGCCTGGTTTAACCCTTTTTAAGGGTGAAACTCTTTGTTCTCTTAGCAGTCCATGGCATTCAGTATTCTTATCCAGCACCACAGTTCAAAGGCATCAATTCTCCTTCCATCATCCCTAGTCAATATTCAGCTCTCTGATGCATATTAAGTAGCTGTTAAGACGATGGCCTGGATCAGGTACACCTTAGTCTCAAAGCTGACATTGTTGATCTTGAGTACTCTGGAGAGTTCCTTGACAGCTGACTTCTCCAATGTAATTAATCTTTTGATTTCCTGGCTGTTGGTGTCAAGAGTGTTGATTTTAGAGCTAAGCCAACTGAATCTGTTAACAATCTCAATCTCTTCACCATCTATCTTTGTGCTGACCATAATCCCAGTGGTGAGAATCTTTGTTTTCTTGATGTTGAGTTTCAATTCATGTTGAAGGCTGCAGTCCTTGACCTGAAGCAAATGCTTCAGGCCCTTCTCAGTTTCACCAAGCAATATGGTTTAATTTGCATAATGCAAATTGTTGATGAGTCTTCCTCCAATCCTGATGCTACATTCCTCCTCATAGAGCCCAGCCTCCATAATTGACTTATTCAATATCAAAAAGATCTAAGGTATAGTAAATAGACCAAAATTATATAATTTGATTTAGCATTTAAAGTCTATCATTGTGACTACACAGTCATCCCAACTAACCTCTAAATTAGGGATATATTTCAGACATTAAGGAAGATTCCTTTTGTCTGGATTATGATTATAATAATTTTTCACATAGCATGGGAAAGTAGAATAGTGTTTTGAAATGTAAAATATTATAATAGAAATTTTGCTTGGTGAAGAAGGAAGATATAGGATGTCATTTGAGAAGGAATTATATGATCATAGAAATAAACTTAAAGTGAAATACATAGTTAAGCGATCATAAATAATTCAGGAAAGATAGAGTTTTTATTTAGAATAATGAAAAAGGTGAATATAGTATTCTGCTGCATATGATTTCACATATTATTTATTATTCATATTAAAATAAAGAGAGCTTTGATAACCTAGTTATAAGAAGCTGTGGTGTAATCCAAAAGGCACATGGTTTAAATCCACTAGCTGCTACATGGGAAAGATTGCACAGTTTTCTTCCCTGTAAATTCATGCCTCTGAAAACCCTCTGGAGGGTCTGTTCTGACTCAGCAGCATGTAACAACACTGGAATAAAAACTTATCCTTAAATATTTTCTACATAAATTAACATACGGCCAACTAACTTCTATCTTTTAATGTCTTCAATGTCATGTTATTCTTGTGGTACCCTTCACCATGATCTTTTCCATTACAAAATAAGATAATAACTACTAAAAAAAATGAGAGAACTTCGTTTAATAAATAAAATTAACTTAGCCTTTAATGAAAACTTCCAGGTACATATTACTTAAATAAGAATATTATACTAATGATGGTGTTCCCTGTAACTATGTTTTCATTTCAGGTAAACCAGTAATGATAGTGACAGAGTATATGGAAAATGGCTCTTTAGACACATTTTTAAAGGTAAGGTTTGTGATCAACTTAATTATTCTAAATGTTACTTAAAATAAATGTTTAAATAAGTTAGAAATTACTGAAATAAGAATAATTATACTATAGGGGAGCTCTGGTGGCCTAGTGGCAAGAAGCTGCACTGCAATCCCAGAGGCGCACGATTCAAATCCACCAGATGCTCTGCCAGGGAAGGAGGGACAATCCCCTCCTGTACCAGTCAGATCTGATTTGACGGTACACACAAATAATATAATTTTTTAAAAAGTTAAAAAAATTTTAAAAAAGAGAATAATTATACTACAAGGATTCTTTTACATTCTATTTTTCTTTTATTTTGTGAAACACAAAGGGTTAGAGGGTTAGCATGTGTCAGAACTGACTTAATAGCCAATCTTTTGTTTTACAGTTTTAATTAAATATATGCTAACTCATCAAAGGAACAAAGGGAAGAAGGGGAAAAAAGAGAAGAAAAAAGTGAGGAATAGAGAGGGAAATAAGGATGAGAAAAGGCAAGAAGAGTAAGAAGGCAAAGGACAGAAAGGAGATAGAATAAAGGTTAAAAGAAACATAAATGTTTATAAACATTCAACTTCATCAGAGAACAGAGTAAAAGGTAAAAGAAGGTCAAATCATCTACATCAATGAACAAGTCAAGGAGATGAGGAGGGCAGTTGCTCTCATACTTTATCAGAAAAGCAGCCAACACTTATACCAGTTAGTCACCAGGCAAATTATCAAATCTTTCAGGTTTATTTTTAATGTACAGGTCTCCAAATTTTAAGTGTTAGAAACTTATTATAAATATTTTGTGTTAAACAGTACAACATAGTTGTGCAGATAATTTAACTATAGCTTGGCAGTTTATAACTTAAATTACAGAGGCTATTATTATTGAGTCAGGAAGTTAATGGAACAATGACTTTGATGAAAAGTTTATTTTTTTTTCTTGAAACAGTTTTATTCTTTTTTTATTTTTTAAAATAATTTTAATGAACATTTACAGAGAATTTGGATTTCCATTCATTCATTGCTGCACTTCTCTACCCACCCAGCCCTCTCCCCCTGGCCCCCAGTTCGCTCCTCTCTTTCAAAAGTAAAAGAAAGACTCCCTCCCTGGTACACAAGCCCCCCGCACCCGTCCCACAGCCCCAAGCACATTCCACTATGCAACCTTAATTGTGGACTCTTGTGATAACCATAATACCCTACCATACATCGCTTTTAAATTATTCAGGCCCTCATCTGTTTCCCTGCAGTATAAAAAATTTTATGACCAGTCTGTACAATGCATCTGAAGACAAAAGTTCTCTTTATTTGAAAGCTTCTGCCATATTTTGTTGCCAGATTTTTATCCACATCTCCAAGTTGTTAAATTTACAAAGGACCCAATTTTCAAAAAAATTACTTCAAAATAACCATCATAGGAGTAGAGTTTTGTGCGACCCTAGTACGTTCATTGCCCTTGGCCAAATACAGCACAGCCTGAAGAAATTCAAACATTACTTAATCATATCCCTTCAATTTGCTATGCAGAAACTCTTTTATTTTCTCTTATTTCCTCTGAATATTTAATGTTTATCTTAACATGACTATTCAACTAGATTATTTCAGTTAACCATAGAAGCACTATTTTAGAATTCTTCTGATGACTCAGAATAGGAGTTACCATATAGTAAAGGATAAGACAGTATTTGATGACAGTTTACAAATGTTTTATCTACTCTGACAGAGGACTGATAAACACTAGCAAATTGACTATTTTTTTTTTTCTGTTGTTGTCGGTCGGTGTCGTGGAGTAGCCTTGCAACTCATAAAGCCCCTATATATACCACAACTCTGAAGCCTGTCCCGTTCTGAGACAGTCTCACTGATTCTGACATACCTATTCTCTGTTGCCCCAGTTAATGTATCAATCAATATCCTAGTTAGTTCCATTTTCCTTCAGACAAAAATTGCACATGAGTTTTTATGAAGCCATAGTACTAATTTGAATGTTGAAAGAAGAGGCTTTGATACCATTCCCCAGTAATTACTGATAGATAGGAGGCTACCTTATTTTCACAGAAAAACGATGGACAGTTCACTGTAATTCAGCTTGTTGGCATGCTGAGAGGCATCGCTGCCGGAATGAAGTACCTTTCTGACATGGGCTACGTACATAGAGACCTTGCTGCCAGAAACATCTTAATCAACAGTAACCTTGTGTGCAAAGTGTCTGACTTTGGACTTTCCAGAGTACTGGAAGATGATCCTGAGGCAGCCTACACCACAAGGGTAAGATCTAACAGAATGCATTTCTGAAGCACTAGACAGAAGGAATTTAATTTTTAAAGAGTTTTAAGGTAATAGCAAAAGAAGGGATTCTTCTGATGAAATTTTGAAGGAAGAAAATATCAAAAGTTCAGATAATTCTCTATGGTGTTTGTCACGAAAATCAGGAATTTACAATGTTTTAAATGTAAAAGAAAAATTGCTTAATAAATAGCAATTTAAGTCTTATTTATTCTAGTATGTGACATAATGTATTACTGTCCTATAAAACAGATTCCTACATTAGTCTGTTAGAAAAAAATATTCCAAAAATATTCCAAATCTACACTTTCCCCCTTCCCTGTCAAGATGGAAAAATTTATCTTTATGGCTTGCCCGCTTTTGAAATTAAAGGAAGAAATTGCTTCAATAAAAACACTGTATAAAAAGGTGTCAGCAGAATTTGAGAAAATTTACAAAATAGTTGCTATGATTTTGGTTATAATAATTTTGATTTTGTTTAGTTTTGTTTTCTTTGGTTTTGTTTTTAAAATACAGAATAATATAGATTTTTCTCCCCATAATTCCATTTTAGTAATTTGTCATTCCATTAAATTAAATAAGATGCTATTACCTTTGATAAAAAAATTAAAACAATATGTTGTTGTTGTTGCTATGTGCCGTCGAGTCGCCTGCGACTCGTCTAGGTAATCAAACTAACCAACTAATCAAACAAACAAACAAACATGCTAAAGGTAAAGAAAAGCAAATCTCGAAGAAAAACAACATGTCAAAGGGAAAATGTGAATGTTTAAGATAACTGATTTTCTTTTTAGTCTTATTAACTGATAAATTTCTTAGAATTTTATTCATCAATTCAGCTTTACAATTCCTGTATTAGGAGACTGGCGTGGGAGAAAACACCCAGGGAATTAGAGTCCTTTACTTTCTTTACAAAGTCATGAAAGCATACCTTATTGATCTGCTTGACTGACTGCCTGCTTTCCCCTCCTTAGGGCTGCCATTCTGAATTCTGTAATTGAGATGTGGGTCCTGTATGTGCTCCACTAGTCAAAGAGAATTTAAACGAGAAACCTTCAGGACAACCAATTAGTAGTCAGTCTACAAGTGCTTATGGGCTGAGATATGTGAAGAGAGAATACATGCTGTCAAACAGATTTACTTAAAAATGCTACATCTCTTTCTAGATCTCTTCAGTAAGGCAGTGATATCCCTGGATGCATTTTAACAAGTAGGAGGGAATATTTTTAAAAAAAAAAAACCAAAACTTTCTTTTTTAGGGAGGAAAGATTCCAATCAGATGGACTGCTCCAGAAGCTATAGCTTTTCGCAAGTTTACCTCCGCCAGTGATGTCTGGAGCTATGGGATCGTGATGTGGGAAGTTGTGTCTTACGGTGAGAGACCCTATTGGGAAATGACCAATCAAGATGTAAGTATGGAATCACTCCCACAAAGTTTGGGTAAATGTTTTCCTTTCTGAACTGAGAGACCTTTAATATTCCTCATTTCTGAAAGTGACAATTGCTTTAAAAAAAGTTTTACTTACCCTCTGATCAGTTTTATTATTGTTGAAATATCCTTTTATGAAGAAGGTCAAAATTACCTAGTACAAAGTAAAGTAATTTACTTTTTATATAAAACTCAAGCCCTTACCTGTACTGTAGTGATATTTCACTCAATATATGCCAAAATCATTTTTAAAAATGAAGAAAGAGTCATCAAAGAATGAATATTGACAGGTAAGTTTTTACCATTTGCATTTTATGAGGGCTTCTAATGATCTAAAGTAAAGACATAAATGGTAGTGGTATAATAGTGATGTTATTACAAAATAAAACTAAGTACTCTGTTTATTTACATTTTAAAATGTAAAAAGAAAAGCCCCATTAGTGAATTTAATAAAAAAAGTAGTATTTTACCTCCCATGGGGATATAACCTATGCTTGGAATAATAGATTGCTAGAATTAAAGAAATACTAAGAGTCACTGTATCATAAGTATTTGAATCATAATCAAACGTTTCATAAGATGTAGTATATGATGAAGAGCAGATGATATTGAAAAAAGAAGTCCAACCTTCACTGAAAGTACTAATTCAAATAAGACTCTAAGCATTAATTTAAAAATACTAATTAAGATGCCTCGACAAAATTATACAATACTTGGAATGTTCATGTATCTATATAAAGAAAATTTTAAAATGATCACCCAGCCAGCTGTTGAAAGAGATTTATGTCACTGTTCATTCTAAAGAGAGATGGTCCCAGAAAATGTGAAGATTCAGAGTAATTAATAGACATGCTAATAAAATATTGTAAGGTAGCAGAAAACCTGTAGACAATAACTTCCAGATATTCAATTCACATGATAATATGAACCAAGTGGTACCATTACTTATGGCAGTGGACCTTGATAAAAGCAAGTGAAGTAAAAAGTTTTTGTACTTCTGTTTTATTGATTATGAAAATGCAAAAAAAAAAAGAAAATTTGACTTGGTGGATTTTAACAAATTGTAATAGATGACATTGCTTTAAAATTCCAGAATTTTTCATCGTTTTTTCAGAAGTAACCTGTATATAAAGCAAAAGACAATTTTTCAAATAGGAAAAGAAGACACTGTGATTTAAAAATCAAGAAATAACTTGTACCATGACACGCACAGTCCAATGGAACAGAATTGAGAACTCAGAAATGGAACCAGAAATGGTCACTGATATTCAGCAAGGAAATTAAACCTAGCAAATGGGGAAATTACAACCTCTTCAACAAATTACACTGAAAAAAAATCAGACTGCTACCTGATAAAAAGCTGAAACAGATCTTCATCTCACACCATACACAAAGAGCAACTCAAGATAGATCAAAGACCTAGAATAAAGCCTAAAACCATAAATTTCATCAAACTGGGATCAAGCTTAAATGGCATAGTCTATGGTATAAAGAGACTGCCAAATACAGCTAGAAATGCATAATCTGGAGAGGATAAAATTGATGAATGGGACCTTCAAAAAATCAAAACTGCACAGTAAGAACTTTTTCTAACAGAGTGAAAGAAAACCTACTGATTGGGGGGAGGCGAAACAACAACCCACCCCAAAGCAAAAAAAAAAACAAAAAACAAAACATTAAACAATACTGTATCAGAAAAGAATCTCATGTCAAAAGTTTACAGAATTCTAATGGGCCCCACAAGAAAAAACAGGCCAAAGAAATGGAAAGATTTTTCATAGAGGAAGATACATGGATGGTCAACAGACACATGAAGAAATGCTCAAAATCACTGGCAGTATGAAAGATGCAAATTAAAACCACAATGAGATACCATCTCATGCCAGTATCAGTGGCAAAGTGTAACAAGATAGAAAATAAGAAATGTTGGAGATGTGTGGAGAGAAAGAAACTCTTATACACTGTTGATGGGGTTGTAAAATGGTGTAACCACTCAGGAAGGCAGTTTGGCATTTCCTCAAAAAGCTGAACATAGAAATGACATATGAACGAGCTATACCTCTGCTTGGAATATATCCCAAGAAAATGAGAACTGAAGCAGAAATGGAGACTTGTACACCAATGTTCCTAGCAGCGTTATTCACTATAGCAAGAACATGGTAACAGCCCAAAGGTCCAACCACAAACGAATGGATTGAGAAATTATGGGACATACTCAAAATGAAATACTACCCAGCACACAGGAGCAATGACTTTGTAAATCACTACCTAACTTGGGAGGGACTGGAAAGCATTATAAATGAACTAACTCGGTCTTATAAGAACAAATATAGCATAAGATCATTATTGTAGAAATAGATAAGTGGTAAAACTTGTTTGAGAATCTAAGAGGGGAGCACAGGGGTGAGGATGGGTGGGAGGTGTAATCATAGGATCACATAATTTGTTGGGTGGAGGGAGGGATGGAAAGAATCCATTCTGAAAATGCATACATAATTGGTAATTAAAGCAGAATAAAACAAAAAGTTTAAAAAAATCAAGAAACGTGTATGTGATAGCTGTATCTTTCTACTACATTTATTCAAACTTTCTGGGAAATCATCTAAGTAGCAAGACTATATTAAAAGAAAAACGAATTATGAGAATTGAAAGAAGACTCATCAGTAATTTGCCAAATAAGGATAAGATCTTGCTAACTGAAAGGTAGGAAGACTTCAAGCATTTACTGATAAAGATAAAACATTATAGCTCTCAGTATTAATTACAACCTTAAATAAAACACTAAAATTCTTACAACTGGATCACTGAACAACACCTTGGTAAATAGGGAATATATTAGTTGTCAAAGATTTTATTTTACTTGGATCTATAATGAAAGCAGTAGTCAAGCAATCCAATAACATATAGCATGGAGACATAACTGTTGCAAAAGAGGTTTGTTGTTGTTGTTATGTGCCATCGAGTCGTTTCTGACTCATAGCGACCCTATGAACAACAGCCCTAATCCTTGCTCTATCCTGTACCAATCTCATAGAGGCTCTTCCCCTCTTGCACCGTCCCTCCACCCTCCCAAGCATGATGACCTTCTCCAAGTACCTGTCCCTCCTTGCAACATGCCAAATGTATGTCAGACGAAGCCCCAGAATACTTGATTCCAAGGAGTAACTTGATTTAACCCTCTCCAGGATGAATCTGTTTGTTTTCTTGGCATTCCATGATACACTCAATACTCTTCTCCAGCACCACAGTTCAAAGGAATCAATTCTCCTTCTCTCCTCCCTAGTCTTTGTCCAACTCTCTGATGCATAACACGTGATTGCAAAGACCATGGCCTGTATCAGGTGCACCTTAGTCTCCAGAGAGACACCGTTGCTCTTAAGTACTTTAGAGAGGTCATTAACAGCAGACGTTCCCATCGCAATATGTTTTTTTTATTTCCTGACTGCTGGTGCCAAGAGTGTTGACAGTGGAGCCGAGCAAACTGAAGCTGTGAAGAATCACAATCTCTTCACCATCCATCCTGATACTACCAATTGGTTCAGTGCTGAGTCTCTTCTTGACATTGAGCTTCAGTCCATACTGAAGGCTGCAGTCCTTGACCCTCTGCAGCAAGTGTATGAGGTCCTCCTCGGTTTCAGCAAGCAGAGTTGTGTCATCTGCGTAACGCAGATTGTTAATAGATCTTCTACCAATCCTGATGCCACACTTCTCCTCATAGAGCCCGGCCTCCCGGATAATCTGCTTTGCATACAGGTTGAAAAGGTATGGAGACAGGACACATCCCTGGCATACACCCTTCCCAATTTTGAACCATGCAGTGTTACCCTTCTCTGTTCTGACGACTGCCTCCTGGTCCAAGTATAGGTTTCGCATTAGGACTATTAAATGTTTAGGTAGCCTAAAAAAGAAAAGACTTTGAGGACTAAGGTATGCATGATTTAAATCATGGTATTTACAATAACCTCATATGAGTGTGAAAGCCAGACAATAAAGAAGGAAGGTTAAATAAAAATGGATGTCTTTGAATCATGGCATTGACAAAGAATGTTGAAAATACCATTGAATGACAAAAGAATGAACAATTCTGTTTTTGAAGAAATACAAATTTCTTTTTTTTCTTCATTTCTTAAGAGGGAAGATGAGACTTATTCTATATTTTTGTTGTTGTTGTTCTGTGGGATTGTTTTACTGGCTTGCTTACAAAGTTCACATACATTTCTTTTTTAATTTTTTTAATGATTTTTTAAATTATTTTATTTCATTATTTTTTGTGTGTACCATCAAATCACATCTGACTGGTACAGGAGGAGATTGTTCCTCCTTCTCCAGCAGAGCATCTGGTGGAT